CTTGCACAGAAAACTGGAACAGCTTAAGACTGTAGCCATCTGAACCTTCCTCTGCAAAGCTTCTTGTTGCACAACAAATTTTTCACATCTTCGTAAAAGGAGCATTTTTCTCATGGTCTTTAATCGGGGGAATGTATCCGTGTGATTCCTCTGCACACAGCAACAATGTTAACAGTAATGCAATAACAATAATGTAACGGGTAATAAGAACAGCAGCTCAATTGTTCCCTGGGCGACTGGAGCGGAGAGGAAACAATCATAACATGCTTTTAGAGCCTTCAGCATCGGCTGTGAGACCAAAGCATCAGAGACGGAAATCAATGTAGGATGTTACTTGTAGTATCTGGCAACACTTCTCACAAAAAATCTTTACTTCTCTGTAAAGCTATAGAGGTTGGAGGATTTGACTTTATATTTTTAAAGTTGTGCCAAAAATGTCAATAAAAATGGAATGTATTGTGATGCATTGTTCATTTAAGACAATTTTACAATCCGATGCACCGATCTGAGCATTGGATCGGATGTCGGCTCTGATATTGATTCATTAGCTGGATCGGATATCAGATCCAACATTCCAATCCAGACATTAATCTTTTTATTTCATATGGTTGCAATTACTTCATCACACTAAGCAGCTGGTGATGATTTCTATATTGATCCGTTATGTTTTGTTAACCATGTTTACGTCAAGCATGATGCCTTTACTCCCATGGCGAGGTTTATGACCAGTAATTGTTATCGGCCGATTTTTGGGTAGAGTACCCAAAAGTTTTAGTCAAGTAAGAGCAGCACTGTGTTAACATTTTTACTCTAGTAAAAGGAAAAGAAAACCAAGAAATTTAAAAAAGCTACGCAGAGCCGTCGCTTAGATTGTGTCAACATCAGGGACATCACGCCTGTCATTATTTAATTCATTTTTTTGCAATAAATGCATTTGGTATATGTTATTATGTGTTTCCTGTCAAGGACACATGAAAAATGTAGAAAAAAGTAAACAAAATTTGCTGTTTTTTGTTGTTAAGTCATCACAGCTCCCTAAGGCAGGAAGAGGAGGGAGACCAATTTAAGAGGACGCAACTGATTTCAAAAGCACAAGAAAAAAAGAAAATTAAAAAGGGAGAGCAATTTAGGGTATTATTCCGGTGCACTGTGTGGAAAATTCAGTCTGTATGGAGAGGTCTGAACGCCAAAATGGGTCGAGCACAAATCAACCTTTACTGATTTGTAATAAGGCATCCATATCAAAGAGCAATGCTTCACACCTACCTGTGACGTTCCTGACTAATCAAGGACGGAGTAAATGCCGGTTCATAACTTCCGATTTGAATGTTTAAAACAGTGTCATCAGACTGGAGGGTGATGACTCGAGTTTGGGACTTGTACTCCAGTCTTGACTTAGAATTGCATTCAAAATATTGCAGCCTTGTAAACAATCTTATGTTCATGTTTTTTTGTTCTGCTTCACCGTCTCATTCCTCTGTACTTTTTTTTTTTTCCCTCATGCACCGATGTTTCTAGAAAGGAACCAACAGAGGCCAACAGGAGCCGGTGCACTTGCAGAAATACCTCTCCTAATGCACAAAAACATTATGGCTGTGTTAAATTTCAGCGGCTATAGCAGAACTCTTCTGGCCTCCTCATTTTCGCAGGACGCAGCCGATGAAATTGAACACAGCAGCAATGGATAACGGGATATCCTAGGCCATGGAAGATATAGCGGCCCTGTCCTTTCAAACAGCCAAAAAGAAGGCTGCATTTGTCGGCCGTATAAGGAGGAGTCTTCGATTTGAAAGAGGCCACAGCATGATGGAAACGGATGTCGAATCTGTCTTCTGGAGGACGCAGCTTCCGGATTCAAACACCAAAAAAGTCTGTCCACTTCTGGGGTTTCAGTAAATCTTCCAGCTTCTTTGTGTAGCTGAATAATCAGAGATCTTTGGGCGACAGTGGCGTCGGATGTAGGAGTTTGCCCTGAAATCGAAGGA